CCATGAGCTTCAACAAGTTAGTTCACGAGATAAAGCTGAAAGATATTATTGCTAATTAGCACTCGATGTTGCTCGTGATTTTGTAGTTGCTTAAATAATAAGAAAAAGGCAAGTGGTTTTAAATAAATAGGTTCTCTTTGGCTATTAAGCATAAGAAAAAAGCAAGTGGTTTTAAATAAACAGGTTCTCTTTGGCTATTAAGCATAAGAAAAAGGCAAATGGTTTTTAATAATCAGGTTTTCTTCAGTTATTAAACATAAGAAAAAGGCAAGTGGTTTTAAATAAACAGGTTCTCTTTGGCTATTAAACATTAGAAAAAGGCAAGTGGTTTTAAATAAACAGGTAGTCTAATTTTTCAAAAGGCTCAATTTCTGTGACACGCCATTAAATTATTTCTTCTGCTTCGTGTTGTTGATTGCACATTTAACCATTGTAATTGTGTTTCATTACTGTGTTAATACTCTTGCTTGAGTACTATGTAATTGATGTAACAGTATTCTGTGAGATCACAGTGATATGATATTAGATCGTGTTTGCAAACTTTATGTATTGGAGAAATTTCGGTATGTGTATTTTCAAATCTAATGTACTTATATGAATGATGAAATACTATGAAATGTAGAAACTGTTTAGGTCACAGAAAGTACTGAATCATTTGTTTTTTTATGTATAGGATTTTCTATGTTTTATTTTATCTTGGCAAAAAAATATATTAATAAAGTTCAGTTATCTTGTTTATTGAATTTGTAGCAGTTTTTTTATATTTTATTTTAGCAGTGATGCCCAAAACTGACTAAATACAACTTATTAGCACTCTAAATAGTATATATAAGATAAGAATACGTCTGAGTATTTTTAAAGGATGAAGCGTCTTTGTGCATTACTTTAAAGAACAAAGTGTCATAAATGTTCTTGCCCTTAACTTATCATACAAGTTGCTTTTTTTTTCAAGAGTCTTCATATATATATTTTACTTATTTAAGCATAATAACTGTAGTATACTACTTGTGTCAAACACTGAAAATTAATAGATAGAATCTTTAGTTTCATACATTATCGCCTGTCATTAGCCTAGTAAGGATAATATGATTCCACCAGGGTTAAACTTAATAGTTTCAAACATATTTCTGGAATGAAAGAAATTATAGTTGAATTTATTAGTAAAAACTGGGATGAGAATTTCCCATCAAATCAGCAGTTTTTCACTCTTTTAGACATCCTACTGGCCTTTCATAAGATTGATGCAATTCTTATGAGAAAAATTTCTAAACAGCATTCTGTTACAAACCCCAGAATTAAACTGGAGTCTGAAAGTCTGTTTAACCAATGAAAAAAAGTCTTTGTCGTTTTTGTCTTTGTTTCAAGATGAAAATACAACTGAAAGTCATTGATAAAAATGCACACAAGATGAAGGAGATTGACAGTAGTTGCAAGGAGAAATTCTGCTGTTTGTGGTTTGAAAAAGTAGTAATGCTTGAAATTGTACGAGAAAGGTGATAGATGTGACAAATACACCCAATGATTTTTTTCCCAAAACAATAATGTCCTTGAAAGAATTTAATGTCATCTTATGGGAAAATTGTGATTTCCTAGTATTATCAGTGTACAAATATAGGAGATACACAATATAAAAATAGTAATATATTAACTTTAATTCTGCATAAATATCTAAATGTTAAGTTAATATTCATTATTTTTCTTTTAAAAATAACCCATTGTCCATCTTTTTTTACCTTTTCTTCTAGACTATGGTACTGACCATGGACTTAGCCATGCTTGCCATTAATGTCCAGAATTTTTGCCCTTTTTTTTTATGTCCCTATAAAAATCAGTAAAATCTAAAAACCTCAACTGAGTACCTGTTTAAAGTACACTTCAGCACCATTGAATATAAAAATTCATATTATTTGTGTGTCCTTACGATTATTGTACCAGAATGTACTTTAACAGTAATGACATGTGATATGATGTATGTTATGGAAATAAAAAAAAGGTGAGGATATCATAAACTTTAAGCATAAAACTGAGGTAATGTCATATTTATCTGTGCATATTACTTATTTTGTGTGATTAGATAATATAAACTTGTTGGTTGAAGTAAAAAAAAAAAAGTTAGAAATTAAAACTTTTTTTTTCTTTTGTTAGCTTCTAGCTACTGGCACTGAACAGTTTAACAGTAAACCCAGTAAAGGAATCAGCTTTCTACAAGAAAATGGACTCCTTAAGGATCCTCTTGATCCCGCGGAAGTGGCAGACTTCCTGCGAGATAACCCTCGTTTAGATAAGTGGATGATTGGACAATACATTAGTAATAGGAAAAATCTCAAAGTTTTGGAGGCATTCATTAGGTTAGTTGATTGTCAAAAAACTTTTAAGCTCTGGATGAAAGAGATGGAGTGAGTGCTGCAGTTCTCAATCTTGTAATTATTTGATAACTTAAAACGTGCGAACATAAAAATAGTAATTTTTAACCCATAGCACCTGGGCCTGGCTCTTTTTATAGTGTCCCATTAAAAAAATCAGTAAACTTTTATTAGAATGCATATCAATGAACTTAGCATGATAACACAGTTTATAATTCAAGTTTTTTTATATTTAAGTTTTAATTTCTCAATTTCAAAAAGAAATATTTAAAAATCCTCGTTGATCAATTTCTGTCATTTGATGTGTCTGAGCTTCAGTTTTCCCTTTCAGAATTTTCAAAAATCAAAAATAGAGTGCTTCAGTTTCCAATTTATTAGAAAAACTATATGTAATTAAAAGCAAGGAACTAAGAGTTTAACCTCTTACCTTCTTGACTTGCTGAGATATCAATAAATTTGTCAAAGCGCCACAAAAGCTCCTCCTCCTACTCTGTCTCTTGAGATTGATTGCTAACTGACATGTTTAGTTTTATATATAATATAACCTACAATATTTTTATTGTACATGTAGATGTATGTGTCAACAAGTAAGTGAATGCACCAACAGAGTTCCAATATAACATTGTAAAATTATACCATTTTTATAAAAGTACAAAAGATATCATTTTAAAGTGAAAATGTCTGCGGTTATAGCTCCTAAATGCATTGGGGATTTTCCATCTGTCAGACATAGTCAAAACGAAAGATGCAGAGCTGGTCAGCATGTAACCAAAAAAGGGGTTTAGGATCTGGGTGCTAGAGCCCACAACGTCCCAGATCCCCCTATCACTCACCGTCTATAGCCGGTTGTGGGTATGATAGTTATCCCTAAGAAAAGCATAAAAATAGAAATAAGATATTAAACCACCCTTGATTTCTATCATAAATCATCCAACTTTCTCCTTAATATATTTACTCCGATACTAAATTACGAAATATACAACCTTACTGTACATTTCAAGTAATAACATTGACACTTTATCACTGCGAGATATTAATAACTATTCAGTATAGTATAAGCAGTAATACTTCAAATAATATTTCAGTTAATGTTTTTATTGTTAACTATAAACCCACTTACATAGTTCTGTTACCCCTTCCTCCTCCCTTTCCAAGGACATGACTTTCAAGTATAACTGGGTAAACTGAGCCAGGCCCAGTTGCCTGATGTTAGTCTTTCCGGCCTAGAAATACTGAAAGTATTATAAAGTTAACGCAAGTCTTTATAATAAGATTTTATATGCTAGCAACCTCTCGTTAGTTTAATATTTCAAATTAGAAATAATTGTACTGAAGGTATTTGTAAATGATTTACTTTCTAATAATTTATGAAATTTATTATAAAATAATTTAAAGACTTTACTAATTTCATAATTATTATCTTTTAACAATTCTACGTTATATACAAAAAAAGTGTTTATATTGCAGACTGTTATGTATCTTTTAATTTAAGAAATAATTATACCTTTTAACATTGTATGTGGCACCACACTATTTAGGGAAGGCAATCCTAGGATAAAAATTTAAATTATCTTTTTTTATCAAAAATGTCCAACTGCACTTTGTTTTCTGACAAATTAGTGTCTAGATCTAAATAGTGTGCTATGAAAATATTGCTATGTTCTAATTCAAGTATAGGGTGGTTCAAGCTCAGAATTATTGATCGATATTAAATCGTCAGTATAATGGAAAGTAAATACATATTTGTTAGGATTTGTTATTTTGTTCATAAATTTATTTTCATAAAAATAAAGATACAAGTTAGCCATAATTGAAGAGAAATTAGCCCCTATAGGGATGCTTACCATCTGTTTAAATATTTTATCATTAAAGGTTACATAATTATTAAATATGCAAAAATTCAAAAGGTCTTTACATTATAAAATTGAAACTTTATATTTAGAAATAGCTATATTTTCAACTGTCAATTCATCTATTAAGCAAATTAAAGACTTTTATTAAATCTTTTAAATTTAATTTGGTATGCTTGTGGTAAAATCATGTCAGAACAGAAAAGGCTGAACTCGAAGAATTTAAAAATTCTTAGCATTCCAATATCTGTGTATTGTTTTTTATTATCCAGAATACGTGTTTCGAAATACTTAGAGATTTTTGTTTTATTTCAGAAAATAGTAAATCCTAAATTTTATTTAATATGATAGCTACTGGTTTAATAATAGTATTTACTGAATTTGTAATAAATCAAAACTTAATTGGAATTTTATGTAGTCTTGGAATTGCATATAAGAAAGGTAAATTTAAATATTTAGAATCAACAGGTATATTTCATTTGTTATAACCTGTGCATAAAATATTTTACATATAAATCCAAAGTTGCTATTAGCACAAATAATCACAAATAGTTTTTGAATTTCTTTGATTTTTCTTTTAAATAAATTTAAATACTTTAACTTCTTTCTT